ATTACTAAGCAGTTGTTGATGGCTCTTCTTTGTTAGAGCCTTCAGATAGGCCTCCAATAACATCATTACCATCCTCAGAGAGTGGGATTCCCTATTACCTGTAAAGCACTTAACTCTTCTTCGTGCACTTCTCACTGTACTGATTGTATTGTATTATTATTGTTGTATCATTCATTACACTGTGGCTGTGTTGACTGTGTTAAGCTGCTGTTGCACTGCAATTTCCCTCACGGGATCAATAAAGTATCTATCTTTGAGTGGAGTGTCCAGAAAAGCGCTATATAAGTGTAAGGAATTAATATTATTATTAATGACCCTGTGTGGGTTGATGTATGATTATACATGTATGATTATATTTATGAATAATGTAATGTTTCTATGTACTGTTGACAGTTTTTCGAATGTCGAAAGCGGAGGCAGTTCAGGTGGGGAGCTGCGTCCGCAGGCGTAGGCTGCAAAGGAACAAGTAAAGGTTTATTCCCTGCTGAAAGGAGAAGAAAAGAAACACAACGTTTCGGCTGTGGAGCCTTCTTCGGGGGGGAATCGGCAGAGATTACACAGCACAGGAGAACAGAAGCCGGGAGTGCGGAGGAGGCGGGAGCAGGGGGTCGGCAGAGAGGGCACTCAGGGGCTGCGAAGTCCAGAGAGGGGAAGAGAGGGGCGATGTCGAAACCTGCCTGTGAACAGAGAGGATTAGAAGGAAACAAGTCTGTGGTTGAGAGAAGCGGGAAGGTGTTTCAGGATAATTTTGGTTTCGGATGTCTTCCTGCAATAGGAGTTCAGAAACCCTCGAGAACGGTTGAGGTCTCCTACCAATTACACGGCAACAAGTGGGGCGCGAACGCCCTCTGGCGGCTGCGGCTGGAATCGCGGGGGGGCCCCCTACCTTCTTCTCGCCCCACTCCGTCTCCACGGGGACGGCCTCGTGACCCCCGTGCTCCTCCCGCGCGCACAGGAAGCAGACGCAGGCGCCGTCGGTCCTGCAGAACATCTCCAGCGGCCTCTCGTGCTCCCCGCACAGGCGCTCCTCGGGGCGGGCCAGGGGCCGGGCCAGCCGGTGCCGGGGGAACCGGGCCTCGTGGACCCCCAGGTG